ATCAGCCATGTTTACAGTTCAATGAACACTTGTGTTACTTTTATTCGGGAGTTTTTGTTCCAGGTGTTTGTCTACACAACTATTTCATGTTTCACGTATGTCAGTAGAAAAAAATGGTAACCTCTGCCAGTCGATCGACTTATTGAGCCTTCAAAGAGGTAGTTCTGTCGGGCACTTTAGCACCACTTGGAGTGTTCCATCCTGTTTCGCTAGTTTCAGTCAACTAGCTTGTTTCATATTTTACAGATGTGCAATCTAAAAGTGCACGTCTGTTCTTCCATCCCCCTTTAGTCGTTTAAATGTATATTAGTTGTCATTCTCTAGAAAATAAACTCAGCTGCAGTGGAGACTTCATACTGTTACCTTTGTTTCTCGCCATCCTAGCATCACAGTGTAAACTAGAATGTGGACAGTGAGAGCATGGGGTCTTGTGAAGCTGAAGTGCTGATGGTGACACTGGCACTGACTTTAAAATATTTTACTATTACCTTGGACGTGCAAGTTTTCTTTAGAACGTTTCTCAGGAATATTTAATGACAGCATAGAGCACAGAGGCACAAAATATATAGCTTCTCTGGCGGAGTGCTTAATATTGAGAATGAAAACAATATAGTGCCCACGATATTCCTTGCCATCTGAAAACAATAACTCTTGCACGAGGTGTGCAGTAATTACGGATCCGGGCTTGACACAAAAGAGAGCACGCTGCTATCGATACATTTACAGGAGGTGGAAGCCATGCATTTTCTGGGCATAGAAACGGTCTCCCTTTCACCATGTGCAGCTGAAATGCCCTTCATTCCAATTGATGAAGTCGTGTGCAAATGAGACTAGACTGCACCCACTGATGAGTGTAATGAGCGTGGTGAGATGGGTTTGTGTATGTGTGCGTGTGCATGCGTGTGTGCGCACGCGCATGTTTGCACGTGTGTGCGTGCGTGCGTTTGTGCGTGAGGAGGGAGGGTGGCCGCCGGACCACATTGCAGTATTTTAGGGCTTCCGGGACTGGAAAATTGCTTACTTATGGTTTACACTATGCTATTTTCGAGCCAACTAGCCCAAGATAAAAAATGACATAGTTCATCTTTTTTTGTTTTCAACAACAGCAATCATTTCTCCCACGACATGTATGGGGTTAGACTTTCATCACAAAATGATTAACATCACTCATAAAACGGTCTTAAAAACTGACCTCATTTGTGCAAAAAAAGTTTCCTTTATGCACTATATCGTTGTGAATATGCCATTCAGCTTTGTGGCCCCTGAGAAGTAATTTCTGTAGTTAGAATGATCCAAATGAAACTATGAAAAACCTTAGCTTGAGGTCTTGGCATGCAAAATCAAAGCATTGTAAGAAATCAGCAGGCACTGGGGTTCTTCCAAAGGAAGCTATGTTTTGTGTAAAGGATACATCTTTCATATGACAAGCAGATCAAATTTAACAATAAAAGCTGGGGTGATGAAGCACTTACCTCTGAATAAATTCAAGTGTAAGGCCCACTTCTTCTAGGAACGAAATGTTCAACACAAAATAGAGCAGGAACATCAACTTGAATGAGCCTGCCCTGTTGCTTGTGGTCATCACCGGCACTGTGTCAACACAAATTGTGAACTCGCTTGCTGTGTAGTTGTTGGCTCCTATAAATAACAATTGATGCAGTATGAGAACAGAACTCGTCCACCTTCATGCTTCGGGCCAGAATTTGAAAGCACATACTGACCTTTAACACATATGATCGGGCTTGGGTCCATATCACCCAGATCCGAGTCAGTGGCATTCTCCTGAAAGACAAAGAGTAAACAAAAATGAGGACAGACGACCTAATGTCCTTTTAGTATGACCCGTGCTATGTCTAAGCACTTGGGTCTAATTTGCTTTTGCCACATTTAGAGGACAAGCTACTTGAATGTTTTCAAGAATTCTACATAAACAAACAATTTTGAACAATTCAAAGGTACTGCCTGACCTCTGTATAATTTGTTTAGAAAACAGAGTATGCCTTAATGATGTATGCGGCTCACTAGTGATAAATTAAAAGCAGAACTAGAGTCCCTATGGACAATGTTGCTGAATTGTTGTCGTCTCTTCGATGATATTGCCACAAGATGCTAACACAATCTCATAAGTTGACAGATGCACTAGCGGAGCACGAAGACCGTCAGTTGCTTTCATAAAAAAAAACAAAAAAACATACACTCAAAGGTGTTCTCATTTGCAAAAACCACAGATAATGCGCAAAGCTCAGAAAATGTTGGGTTCAATCTCGGCTATCCCAAAGCGATGATTCCAAGTGAAAAAGAAATACCAAAACAAAAATGCACCATTGATGCGGCATATTGTGACATGATGTAAGCTATATATATACTCAATATCGCTGCACTTTTCATCATGTGCTAAATTACCAGGTTATGCAGGCTTCGCTCATGGGGAACTCTGGCGGGCAAAGTTCAATTACAGATAAGCCAAATTGCATTGCTAAAATTTATTTAATTTTTTTGATAGCAAAAATTTGAAACATTTATTTTCAACACTTTTTGTTCCATGGCATCAATTCCACAATTTACACGTTTTTGCCCAGACTCCTATGCTCCTAGTTCAGCACCTGCGCCTACAGTAGTCCCAATCTCCAATATTGGCAGCCATTCGAACCATCAGGCTAGAGGACAAATATATTCTTTTTTGGTTGGTTGATTTCGATGATAAGATGAACTGAAGCAATTAAAGAGGCCATTTTTTTCGCAGTGAGGATATTAGGCACAGTACAGAATCCAATAATTTCAGATGACTAAAAAGGTTGGCATTCACATACGAACCAAGCGATCGCTTTCTTGCATCAGCACAGGACACCAGAGTGCAAAGTCTCGTATGAAAGAAACGCGAATATCGGAGCAACATGTAGCTTACCCCCATCATTGTGCAGCGACGGTTGTCAGCGAAAACTATCATGTGCTTCGAGAATTGTGATGATACCAAATGGCCGGTGCTTTCAGAAAATAATTCGAGCTGCGATTTTGATTCAGTTTTCCACCCCATTCGGCGCCGAAGCGCAGCCTTTAAATTCCGTTTCATTATTATCATTATCTAGAGATATCTAGACGCTGACTGCTGGTGCGCCTTAACGAGAGAAAAAAACAAATGAAAGCTTCGTTAGAAATAACACAAAAATGTAAAAAGCTTATGAGTTTACGTAGCATCCAACGCTTCTGCTGTTTTTTAACCGAAGATTAAGCAAAAACAATTCATCATTGCACCCCCATCCCCAAAAGAGCTGTGAGAGAGCAAAAAAGAATTGGAGAACGGCATTTTGCTTTTATTATTCATATGCTCACAAACCTAGCAATAAGAACAGTCAGGTCACAATATCGATGTGAAGGTAATCTCATGTGCATTCAGTACGTCTCGTCTCAGGGCATTCAAACCTAGGCGAAGGCATATTGTTTAGGACAGAACGTGGTGAAAAACTAAACCAAAGGCCACTTGGCATTATTACCCTCGAAATGCGTAAGAACTTCCGCTGACGACCGTTCAGTGGCGCGACGGGTGCAAAAGGCTGTTGGTTTTTTGTTTGCACATTTTTCGTTCCAGACCGCGCTGTCATCCTCGATATGAGGGTGAATTAACATGCAGCTGTCGACCAATCGGCACTGCAAGCTCAGGCTAGCAGCGCCTTCACACCTAACGGAGAGAGTAAGCCCTGGCACGAAAAGAACTGATACGTTGTTGCTATATGTTGTTTTTGTGCAAGGTAGTGAATTCGATAAATGACGCACCGTCTCAAGCGCATGTAGTGAGGATTAGTGCAAGAAAACGCAGACGCCTAAAGCACCGTTTAGCGCCATTTCTTTTTGTGTTCCGAAAAAGCACAACAAAGCCTCTTCTTTATCTTATTCATGAAATGTTAAACTCAAATTACAGATGACACAATTGAGATTCATTTTTAACTCAGTAAGAGTGACTTGGATTTGTTCTCTAATTTTTAACGTTTAAAAGTGGTTCTCATCATGCTGAAGTCACAAAAGCAGACTGTGCTATTTTTTGTATTTTTTTATCTTTAATGTTTTTGTAACTGTGCTCTTTGTTTTATGAGTTGCGTGGTGTGCATACTACTAAGGCCTAGAGCTGTTTGTGCCGCACAGTAAACAGATTGAATAAAAAAAATAGTGTATCACACCCATTTTTGACTAATAATAGCGCCCGCGGTGCTTCTATTCCATTTTCACGTGACATCTTGATGATTCACTTCGATTTTAGATTTCTGTAGATCTACTTCGCTTAAAAAACGTAAAGCAACCGATATACTAAAAGCATTGAATACAAAAACTTACCTCAACATTTTTGAAGATCAATTCAATGTCTTCACCGAAGATTGCCAGCAGCAGGAGCGGAGTGCTGTCATATTCGGGGGTCACATTTTTTAGAGTTTTTTTAGCATCCTCAATGTCCTTAAGGCACTTCTTCACAGCCTCGTTCTTCAGTTGACTGTAGGCGTACTTGTACAGTTGTACTCCAACCTTTTTCATGTTATCATCAAAGACTTCGCTGACGTTGAATCCGAGCAGTAGCTCTGCATGATTGAGAAAATGGTGCTCCTCAAACAGGAATGGCCAGTCCTCTTTCACCTTGCCTACCCCCTTGGAGCTGTTGATCAGTAGCCTCTGGGTTGCGTAAGTCTCACTCGTGAGTTTTGTGACTAGTCTATCATCCCGAGATACCCTGCGATATTCTGTTACCAGACATTCTCTCTTTTCATCCTGAGTGTAGGCTGTCTCTCCTGGAGGCAGCTCAGGCTTCCAGGCCACGCATCCGTAGGAGTCCCGACGGTCTGTCTTTGTGGGCTGATGAAACGCATCAGGGTCGGATGTGCTCTCTTCTGGAAGAGGTTGCGCTAGGGGCCTCTTCTTGTTATTTACACAATTCTCTAGTTTCCAGAGCAAAGTTTCAACGCCTTGTCCAATAACTGTGCCTTGCAGCATGTCTTGAAATGACAACGAATACTTAGCTACAATCTTTGAAGCAATTACCCTCAGGTGGCGCCTGCCCGGCGAGAAGCTCTCCTGGATAATTCTGTTACTCAATTGCCTCACCATTTGGTTCAGGTCAGACTTTGTTGGCCTTGCATTCTTGTAGCATGCTTCCAGAAGCCTCTGTGGAAACGAATCCCATGGAATGGAGAAGTCTTCGCTCCAATTCTCGAAACGTGAGGTGCTTGGAAGAGGAACACTCGCTGTAGGTTGTGCAGCAGGTATGGGTGCCTTGGTTGTCACACTGACTTCGCGAAACCTTTCCAAAAGGATCCTTCTATTCACTGGGTTTAGGAGGTCCAGGTCGCTCTCCTCAATGTACTTTAGATGCTCCATGGTTGCTACACCGCACTCTTCTAGCTTGGAAACAACAGTTTCCACATCTTCTGATGGGAGGCTTGGCAGCCAGCTGGCAATAAGCGATGAAAGCTCCATCTAAGAGAGACAATGTAAGGACATAATTAAATCAAATCCAAAACTGCATGCTTCAGCACCACAATGGGGCGCTGTGCTTGGCCCAGCCGGTATGCTTCAAGAGGAACATAGTCAATTGTGCTGCTTGGAGTAACACATTTCAAACTTCCAGATTCACAATCATAGAGGTTATACAACTGCATTGAAGGTTCCAAGGACGACCGGGTGACTCGTACAAGGAAGCACATCGCAGGGCCTTTTGCCAGAATTAGAATTATCTGACCAAACACCAGCCGATCATCTTCTCGTGATAAGACCAGAATCATGTCCCTCCTGTACGCAAGTCCTCGGTACTCGGCATTATAGGCGTAGTAGATATCATCAGATCCAAAAAAATCCTTTATGACCTTTTGAATGTCATCACTGTATAGACTCAACTGAAGTCTTGATGCAGATGTCAAAGGATAGGCAGTTGGAAAGAGGCAACCAGATGCCCTGTATGCTTGGAGAAGCTGGTGTCGTTCAGCTAGGGTGGATGTGATATTTTTGAAGTTTTGACAATTTCTCGCGCATTTTCTGAAGTAACCGTGCTTGCTTTCACAGCGCATAGTCCAAACTCTTATTAATGGGCCAAACTGCATGATGAGGTAAGGATAGTGCGCAAGAAAGTGGTGCTTAGGTCGTAGAGAACAAAATGGAAAGAGCCCTAGTCTCCCCAGAAGATAATCCTCAATCAAGTCCTTCAGCCGTATTATCATTGGAAGCGAGATGGCTGGAGTGCAGATCAGCTGGACGATCTCTGAGAGCATCAACACCTGCTGCCACACAGGATCATCGAGATCTAGTACTTTGCCGAAAATAAACACAGGCAGGAACCTTAGCATGTTCCAGTTCTGAACTGCATGCCCGCTCAGCTTCTGCTTTAAATTCACTTCCGAGGGGCGATCATTTGCATCTCCTTGTTTGAAATTAAATAAGGAGATGCTTCTGTTTAACTCTTCCAGTGTGAACCACCTGCACTTGTGGACGAAGTATTGTACATACAATGCAATATCATAAGACACAACACCCTCAAACAAATCGTGACCTAGACAAGGTGGCAGGCCCGGTGCACACACATGGAAGTACCTCAAGCGATTAAACAATGAGTCAAATTTCACTCCTTCGTGAAGAATGAGCGTGTCATCTTGACTCAAAATTGTTAGAGACCTGTCATAGTTGGACTTTTTTCTCAGCTCGAAAGTGCCAGTCAGATTGGACTCAGCAAACATATCTTTTTTCCCTGTTAAACAAAACCGACACATGTGCTTTGCTTTGCTAAAGTTCTCAACAAAGCCACATATTGTGTGGCTTCCCAGATTGTCACCAAGGATCGCCACAACAGCTCCATACAGGTTCTTGCCGTCTCTCAGCTGACAGCTTCCGTTTTCAAGCCTCCGGATGTCCTCTAGCAGTGGTGCAAATACCTTTTCTTGCCCGAAAAACTCAAAGTCGGACTCTTTACATAGAAGCACAAGTTGAATTGCGTGAATGCGTGATCTGTTCCATGGGTAGAGGTTTCCGAGCATGAAGTACACTGCAAGTATCTTGTGCTTTTTCTTTGCTGAGCCAAGGGGATGAACGACTTCAAATGCATCTTGAAACAGCAGCAACTTCACGGCATCCGACTGCTGATCAAACAAGGGAATTGACTTGTGCACTATTCCATCCACAAAGTCCCGGAGTATGCCCACTTCCGTGCTAAGTGGATTCAAACACTGACTGACAACTGACTCATCATACAGCAATGCCTTGAGAGTGTCAATTATTGGGACGTAATGAAACGTAGCATCTTGATTTTTCTTGTTTTTTCCCAACAGGATCGCTACAGGCTCTACATAACTGAACCTCTCCTTGAAGTATTCTTTACGGGCGTATGGTGACCGTAGCACACCTGAGCTGCTGTGTGCTTTGAGTATCTGGTCGTTGTCAGATAAGAGGTGTAGGACTTCCTGAGATGTGCTGTCACTAATTCCAACAGAATCCAGTTTTCTTCTTAATTCTGATAACATTTGCTCCAAATTATTGTTCTGCAAGTCAAAGAATGCCTCACTGATCATTTGCACTGTGGACGATGGCACCAGATGCTCGGACAGAAGACGTAGATACAGGAGTCCAAAAGCATCAATTACTTGACTCTGATTTCTCACGAAGTCACCGTTCGACTGAGACCCCACATCACATGACGCACCAACCTCCTGATCAGGAGAATGATCGAAGTTGTCGAGAGATCTCTGTTCATCTACGTGAGCCTGTTGCATTGCAAATCGGTGACAGCGTGATATATGAGATTCAAACGATGACTACTTCTTGTAGGTCCTAGCGCATCCAGGGAAAGGGCATGTAATCGTCTCCAGTTGCAAAATGTGACCTTTCAGGTGGCAGATTAGTGACTTCAAATTGCTGCAGACTTGAAGACAAGTGGCTACACTGCACGCAAGTGGAACAGCCTCGTGAAGCAGAGCAAGGGGTGCCTCAAATCTACTCCAGTATTTGTGGTCACGTGACAGGTGGCTATAGACGGAACCAATCTTCCTGAATACCCTCTTGCATCCTGAGAGGGGGCACTGAATGTGCATGTTGCTGGCATTCTTATGCAATGTAACATGCTTCAGAAAGAGTGATAAACTGGTACAGCAGCAATGACAAATGCTGCAGGTGTACATTGCACTGGAAAAAAAATTGATTGAATTAGATAAGTACTCCGCAGTAAAGATAAACAAAAATGCAGAACCAGTCATTCAATTGATTTGTTTAGAGGTAGCTGGTCTGAATGCTAAATGGTCTCTTGTGAAACTGTTATAATGCAAAAAAAAAAAGAGAAAGGGCCAAGGCAAGAAAAAGGCAAACAATTCTGTCAACACCTGTAAAAGGGGCGTGTCAGTTCTGCATCATACTTACTTTGGCTTTCATTAAATTCACTGTTCTGAAAGTTGACACAACTGCTAAATCTGGTCATAACGAGGTCATGTGGTTTATGCATGCAATGTCGTGACATACTTTCTGGGAATCTATGGGCACGCAGGCATTTTTTTACATGTTTCGGATTTTCGAAAGACTTGGAGGTGCTGGCAATTTTACCGAATTAATAAAAAAAATATTTTTTTCTTGGCCAACCTTGTTTTGACACGCAAAGTATTTTGCTGTTTTGATCTGTCTGCATGTAGACCCTTGGCTACAGAGCAGCAAGGCGATCGTTGGGATAGCACCGGATATAACTGTGTGCTCCTTGTTTATATTTTGTTACATATCCTGAAATGCGACTGTTTGTGGCAGTTACAGCGTTACAGAGGCTTGCCAACACAAGTTGAGGAGGGCTTGAGACAGTTGAGGTCCATAACCTCTGGGATGGTGTGCAATGTAATGAGCACCGTCCCGGACGTCAGGGGACAAGGAGATAGGTACAAAGAGGGCAGTCCTGGAGGCTAACAGGACAATCCGGAGACTGAGCTTTAAGAACGGATATGAAGTTACGAATGTGAACAGGGAGATATATCAGGATAGACCGATTCCCCTCCTGCCGAGGCGGCAGCCACTATGGGGAACTCACAGGGATGCGGATGAGGCGGAGGATGGGCTCTCGGGCAGCTGGGGGTTCTAATGCGAATAGAAAGGTTGGGAGGAAGCAACTTTCCGGCGTGAAGAAAGCGCCGAAAGTTGCCGGCGCTTGCCGGAGAACAGCCACCCGAACACCGCGCGTTTGGCTGATCCTGACCACGCGAACGCTTTTACCGGACATTGACCACTTGAATTCACCATTAACTTCATAGTAATAGTTATAAAATATTATGAAACCAACTTTTTTAATAAAAACAATTCTACCTCTTTCATAAGGACATCGGGGAAAATGTCCTATCTGTTATGCTAGGCACACGTATGCAGACACAAATCGAAACGTTCTTAAACATATAGTATTCGCAAGCTCCAGCATTAGTCGGTATCGTGGAAAGTGAGTCGAATCTGCTCTCTTCTGATCATTGCCCTGCTAGAGACGTGAATCATTTCAAGCAGCGCCAACTGTGATGCTGCTATCGAAGGGTTTATGCCTATAAATACGTAAGAAATGTCCTCCCGCAAAGATAGAAAAGGATTTCGATGCGGATTGATGAAGTCTCGTCTCAGCCTGCGACGAGCGCAGAAGTGTTCTTCAAGCTCTTTGTATTCTGCGCCCGAAATTTGATTCCAGCTTCTGACGGATTATACGCGTCGCGCTTCGGCCCCCGCTCGGGCCAGGCGCGCTTCGTACAAAATCAGACTCTGCCAACCTAGTCGAAACCATGTCGCCAGCGAACTCGCACGATTCTGCTGAACCAGACGATCACACCATAAATTCCTATGGAAAGATTATCGGACACACGACTGCCAAACCTGACATGAGTAAAAGGACGTAAAGCCAGCAATAATGGGCAGACTCCCTCATAAGATGTCATGAACTCGGAATAAATGTTTTGCGCAAGGTATCGTTAGTGACGTCCCCATTTGTTAACACTGGCAGAGAAGGAAAAAAAAAACGACTTTACAAAGACCTGCAAAAGCACCTGATTGAAGAGGCATTCAACACAATGCATCATGCAATTGCTTTCCAATGAACACGCTAGTGCAACAAGCAGCTCAGCTAACTGCATAAAAATGCAAAAATGAGCACCAAGACCGTTTTACCAAGACTGTTTTACTAGGCATCAGCACGTACGTGCGCAGTATGCTAAATGAACCAACGTTGCAGAAATGTTGTGGTTCATGATTTATTCAACAATCGCGAAGTTTGTTACGAACCACTGGCACAGATAGTTGTTGCTCAGTAACTACATACTAGCAGCAAAACCACAAAAATATCTTCACATATTACAGAATGTGCACTTGGACTTTGAAAACGCAAAATAAAGCCGTATTTAGCCTATCTTTGTTGTCAGACCTAATCTTCAAAGTCTACACGAAACCACGTGTCAAGACCGTTTTGAAGTAGCCCGATCCCTTCCCGTCAACGTTTTCGATCACTGCTACCGTATGCTCGTAGTCTCCGCTGAGGATCATTCACCCGTCGAACACGCACACACGCTGACACCGTGCAGGAGACATTCTCCAGTGCCGAGACGGTGCGACGCTTCAAACCAGGCAAAGCGAGCAGCGTCGTTCGGCGGATCCGGCGACGAGCGGACGCAGGTCGAGCGCCGCCGATCCCAGTTGAGCTTTCGAGCTTCGCGTGGCTTTCGGCATCGCAATTCGATGCGGCAGCGGCGCGGTGGATCAGCAGATCACGGTACCTCTGTTTATCAAACTAGCATCGTGTTATGTGCCGTTTCTCGTTCATTATAAACCTCCCTCGCCTATGCTTCGTACTTGCTCGAGTGAAATTATTCATCCTTATTGTACTTCAGTAAATAATTGCCTTAGCGGCGACACCGTAGCTGGAACTTGCGAAGACAAGCCTCAATGGAAAACGCATTTATACAATTAGTTTGGTGGTAATTGTTGCGCTCACCTGTTTTTAGCGGATACCTCGGGCGAATGAGATGGCAGCCCCCGTGGGTTCCTGAAGGAGTAAAATATTTACATTTAAAAACAAATTTAAACTGACCTAACAATAGATCACACGAAACTTTTCAAGCGCGGTACAACCGGCAAGCTAACGTCTTCAGGTTCGGTTCAGGGAGAAATAGCACGCGGCCCGTACGCAGATTGGCTGCCGCTGACAACCCATTTCCGCCGCCGAGCTTGCCGAACCCTTGGCGGCAGTGATGTCCAACCCCCGCACCGCACCGCACCGCGCCGCACTGCACCGCACCACCACACCTCCGCATTCACTTGACAGTTCCGAGAGAGCCCGAATTGAGGTGCGAGGTGTGACAGCTTGTACGACAAAGAACCGCCGCGTACCAAGCTCCGCTTTCTAAAACGTGTTCTTTTGCTAAACAACTTTCGATAACATGGCGCTCAATCAGACCCAGTTAACAGGCTGCAGCGTGCGCTACCCGCACGCCTTCCTCAGTGCCGGTGTTGTTCAACGGTATCTGGCGCAACACCGCAACACTTCCAAGCATGTTTAAAACGGGCGCCTGTGAGTGCGCAGGCGAGCTGGTGGATGTTGATCAGAATGCAGAAAACCCGAGACTGTGGCAAAAGCAGGGAAACGGTGTCGAAGAAGAAAGACTTATTTCTTCGACACCGTTTCCGAAAACCGAAAGTCTTTCTTCTTCGACACCGCTTCCCTGCTTTGGCCTGTAACGGGCTCGCGAACACTACGTATTTGGTTCAACATACGGCGTGGTCGCTTTTGCACACCTAGCTTCCGCGGAGTATGGGGATAAAAAAAAAAAAAGGTAAAAAAAAACACTCACCTCGGAATGAACGGATCCTCGTCCAAACAAAGACGCCAGGAAAAAACTGGCGAACCCGCGAAGACAGGCGAAGATTTCGCCGCTTTGCAGCCTCCTTCGCGTGGCGGCGTGGCGGCGGGGCTCCTTCTCCAGGCCTTTTCATCTCAGTAGTTACCCGAGCGGCGGATAGAGGGCGCTGGCGCATTCGCCGCCATTGAGTGGCTTCAATTTGGTTGGTTTCGGTTTCAGCGCGCTCGCGGCTGTGTTCATGTGTTCAGTTTCGCCTAAGTTCGTGATGCAAATGTGGCGGTTATAGTACACAATAAATAAAACTGTGGTACTGAGCCAATTTGAGAACCACAAAGTGGTTTCCAGTCATATTCGCAACTTTTTTACGAACACTTTATGATGTATCTGGTCATGTTCGTCGTTAATTTCGGTCAGGTTCGGCGGCAAAACAATATATGACGCACAAGGAGGATTTCCATCGTCTCAGGCCGTACCCACTGACCCTATAGTTTCTAGAAAAATTAACGAATGAAGAGACTAATGAGTCGATGTATAGTAAAAATGCAGGCCCCCAATTTGATTAAAAACCTCCTGAATCGCGAAAAACACACGAAGTCGCAAGTTCACTGCTCAGTGTCCGATTTTCGCGGACACCAAACTTTTTGTGAACTTTAGAGATTCGAAATGTCTCCTATAATACACGGATATTCTAAGAAATGAGTGATATATGCTCGGGGTGTTTTCTTTAAAGAAATTAAGTACTCGAAATATAATTCTATACTCCGTCCTAGCTCGGAAGAGGGGGAGGGGGGGGGGGGGGGGGGAGGATTCCTTTACCTATTGACTTGCTGAAGTACTTATAACAGCATTTCATACCATTTGAGTTAGAAAATTAACTATTTGTTTTACTGGCAATTGATTACGATGTGCTTGACACATGAGATAAGGGACAGGCCCATCAATTGAAGTCTAAAAATTTGTCTTTGTATAAACTTTGCCAAATAATATTAAAGGGCCCGGGAGTAGTGATCTCATGCACGTTTGGCTAAAATCGAATTCTAGGCATATCTTCATGAACCTGTCTAGACAGGTCTCTATTCAAACTGATGCAACCTAGGATCAACAATGCTGAACTCGGGCGATTTCCATTTAGATGGATTCTTTTCGGCATCACATATTGCGAGCCCTTGGCACTTTCAAGCTGCCTGTGACAGATTTTTTCCCACAGGGCTTTTTGTGTTGAAATAACTTAAATAAACAAATTTAACCTCGTATTAAAATTCTTAGCACCCTTTAATTACTGCAAACATGGGACAGACTGAAGTGTATAGTTTCTTTAACTTCAAAAATAAACAAATCAAGCAAACGTTTATAATGCAAAAATAATTAAGAACGTCTAACAAATTTACGTGTCATGCCGTGAACAAAGGAAACGCCTGATGTGGACTTTACGATTATCGCGAGCATCAGATAAAATGTGAATTAAATGTTAGAAACATGTATATCGTATATATGCTATATAATCAAAAACAACCGTTTTAAATTTGTTACGAAGACAAGGCCGCAGGGTTTCAGGAAACACACATAGCTTCATATACTGAGTATTTTGGTCACATTCCTTAAATCCGAAAAGTGTGGCTATGCATATACAGTGTACTTCACATATTTAGGATATTGCGCCACTATCACTGAGCAAACTTCAGTTGTCATAAATAATTGGGCTCAATATGCGCCAGCGCTGACGCTGATTCCGGTACCTCCTCTGTTCTCACACGTATCCGGTACGCCGACGGTGAAAATAGTCAAAATATGTTACAGAATTAACTGCAGATGTCGTCGGGCACATAATGATGGCATGATCGGGCGGTGATTTACAATAATCCGAAAGACGCAGTGAAACGCGACGAAAAACGCGAGCGCAACGCTTTCGCCAAGGCGCGGAGCTAAGGGACAGCGGAGCGACGAGTTGAAGCGACCTTATGGCGGCCGCGTTACGTCATTCCAAGATGGCAGCGCCCACGCGACGGAGGCTCAAAAGGTCTTATATTTGCGCACGCGCGCGCCGCCAGCAGTACTCTCGCCGCTCCTGCTTCCATCTAGCGGAGATCAAATGAGACACTGTCGTCTGCTCATGGAGCTTATGGCCCTAAAGATCAGTGCCGAAGGCCATGGTGTTTTATTCTCATATGAGCATCGCACGTCATGAATAGAAAGAAGCCTGAATTAAATTAAGAACAGAAGCTCAATCAACCGAACTTCTCCGTTTAAATAAAAATAGCAACGTGCCTGAGGCGGCAACGCAACACCGACAGATTGCTTCCCTGCGCAGGGCGTGCGCGTCAAACAGAGGCTCATAAACCACGGACCCACCGATACAGACTGGGCTGCCTTGAGTAGTGTTGGGCCGCATTCCAAACATCGTTGATTTGACTCGGCGTTTTAGGTTGTTCTAGGGGTGTGGTCGCTTGACATGCGTGACATGAACCGCCGAAGTAATTCGGATCTGCTCGAGTAAGATTTAGGAACACAGCCTTGCTGTAACGCACCAGACGCGCAGACGTGCTCTTACACCACTTCCTCCCCCCCCCCCCTCCCCCACCCAAACACGCACACACAATCCCCGGCCACGGTCGGGCTTAGAGTTTTGGACTCCTGCGCTTGCCCCGACCTGGCGCCTGTCTGCGCCGTGCGCTGTCGGCTCGTCATCTCCGCCGCCTGTGCCTTCAGATCCGCTGGTGCGGAGCAAGCCGGTCCTTGTGTGGACTGATGAAACCTTGGTCATTTCACCGCCTGTCGCCCGATCATTGTTTTTTGTGTATTTGCAAAGTGCACGTGCTGCGGCGTCTCTCGGCACGAGGGCGTCGGTTTACCTAGCCTCTTAATACAATTTTATCCACAGATGTTTATTTATATGTAAGGCTCGGCGTTTTCCGTTTTGACCAATAAACACCGATAAAAGTATGCCGAATTAACTTTTGGAAATTCGGTTTTCACCGGAAAATGTCAGCATCTTAGACTAGTAAGGAACGCCAAGAAGAGAAGGGGAAAGGGTGGGGGGCATCTGTCATCGTACGTGACCGCGAAGTGTTCTGTTCGGGGACAGGGCAGCGCTCTTTAGGGAGTATTGGGGTCTGTCATGCAATTTACGTTCCTCTTCGTGATTCAGTCGTTGTGCGTCAATTTCGCTGTCGTCGTGTAAGGATCGGACTTGGAGTGTTTTTATCAAGGCGAAAGCCTTATATGTTTCATCGTTCAGTCGACCTTGAAAGTCCTTGAGCGAAAACCTGTCCACACGAAAGGCATGAAAAATATTCTGCACGCACACTCCTTCACATTTGCACCCTCTTCGAAGGACCTGACGACCTTGACGTCATCCTAGAGTTTGTCCTGGACGTCGACATTGACGCCGTCCTTGAGGTCGTCCTGAAGATCGCGCTAGAGGTCGTTCTAGATGTCGTCCTAGACGTCGTCTTTGACGTCGTCCTTGAGGTCGCCCTCGAGGTCGTCCTAGAAGTCGTTTTAGACGTCGTTTTTAACGTCCACCTCTATGACGTCATTCTCGACGTAGTTCTTGAGGTCGTCCTTAAAGGGGTAGGGAAACGAAATTTCAGCGCTCATTTCCTAGCTTTAATGTGTTGCATGTTGCACCCTAACCTCAAAAACACCAGTCTTCCGTTGAAAAGGAGAAAAAAACTAATTTTAAAGCTAAATAAACGACTTTCAGTGTGCACCTGTTGGCTGCATGCGGAGCCTATTTGGGAGGTAGTCTAGCAACGTTGTGGAATCTGCTACGTAGTCGAGACGTAGCAGATTCCTTCGGAGCAGCGCCACTCTTTGACATTTCAACGTTTTATTCTTAGCTTTATTCCTGAACCCACAAATCGCGCATTTCAGCGAATGGTCCAAGAAGGTGGAAAGGAAGGACTTCCCTCTTTCTCGGACCCTCGTTCGTGCAACCGGAAACAGCCATTCTCCCTCTAGGCTCCTTGCATTGACGTCACATCGCATACTCTTGAACACCAAGTAAAAGAAGGAGAGGGAAGCTGCTATTGTAAGAATTTTGGTTGACAGATTAATCTCCTATAATCTTCGAGGGGGAGAGTAGCGACGCCTGTACAAATCCGGGAGGCACAAAGGAGGATCCTGATAAGAGGGGAGCTCCTTCTTCCCCTTTTCTCTGGAGGGCATCGGAAGTGACGTCATGTGCAAGCCCGTCCCTCAAAACTCGGAAAAAGTTGCTTTTCCCACCACGTTCAGCCCTAAGCTGACAGTGTTGTGGGAGCTACGTGCTCCTTGGGCCAGCCGCACGCTCGTCACCCCACGGGTACGTCGAACGGCTCGGTTGTAACGCGCTGACGCTATTGACACCACCACAACGCTGACAACGCCACCAAGGGCAAAGCTCATAACCACGCCAGCCTTGCTACGTCACGTATGCGGGGAATCTTTTCTTTCTGTTTTTGTTTGCGCCGGATATCCCATGACGCATCGCGCTCTCCGTTCGCTTCTCTTCGAGCGCTTGCTCGAGTGCACCGTTTGGAACGAAAAATATAACCAGTCGTTCAAAATACAAACGTGCGATTATCATTTACGGTTATTATCCGTCATGATTGACTCATTTACGAACGAAATCTGAATATTTCAATTTTTGTTTCCGTACCTCTAAAATCGCCCTCGAGGTCGTGAAAAAAGAGAATCTAAAAGAAACAGTACGTGAAACAATGTAAGTCATGCGCCTGTCTTTAATGCACCACCACCCGGGCTTTCGCCTTCAAGTCGTCTTAGGGATAACATAACTGGCCTTCCAATTTTGTTTGTCAGGCCGTTTTATTTTACTTTTGTTTTCTTTTGTGGGGGAGGGGAGTCATCCTGTTTGTACTGTACACGGCTTCCACAAAGAAGCCCAAAGCTGTTTCAACACTCTCTTTCAAGTATTTCTCTGATTAGAGGGAAGCAGCCTTGATAATTCCATAAATATGACGGACTAAAAAGCGCGCCAAGAATTATGCATGAGAATTTCGAGATTTAAATTTTTTTTAAATTTCGAGATTAAAATTGTCCCGACTAAACATAA